CACCACCACCACCACCACCACCACCACCACCACCACAACCACCACCACCACAACCACCACCACCACCACCACCACCTCCTGGCTACACTTTAAAGTGTTTGCTGAAATGAGAACAACCACTGAAACTGATATTCTCACCTCACCTTCAATTTGCTCAATGGACAAACGGTGTTTAAGCGAAACGTTCTTTACTGTTTATCGTCGAAACATTCATCGTTTTGGGACCCAAATTTACTGAAAACTGTTTTTGTTTGCTATCATTGATCGACGAAGGCGCATTCACATGCTCTTTGGGAGCCTGCTCATGCATCATGTTATTTCATATATTGTAATGAATTGGAATAAATGCAATTTAGTTTTCTTACAAAGTTTTTGCGTAACGTCTCCTCAGCATGACTTCTGTCAGTGGTTTGACGGTTTTTGTCTTCTATTATTTGATAGATGTCGCGTCTAGCCAACTTTAAAGCCAACCTGCGCGCTAAAATCGTTCACAGCCTGAGAGCTGCTCATAAAGCGAGGTTTAAATGCCAATGGTTACGACATGCTTTAAGTTACTATTTTTGCCAAGACAGCGAAGCTGCCATTATGGTTCTGATTGCTTAGCTGAACTCAAGTGCTACGAATTGATTCAATTCTGCAGGTTGTTCATTCGTGGTTGAAAAACGCCATTCTCATCGACCTTCTGATGTTGATGATGTCCAAGTCGATGCCATGTCTGATTCGGATCATGGCCATGTAAGCGTGTACGAGGAATCGTGTAATGACGCAGAACAGAGCACACCAAAGGCTCTCAGCTTGATTGGATTACAAAAGCGTTGTGCGTTTTGAGCCACCCACAAACCAACATTTGCGGTTCTCATCGTCGACACCTAACTAAAGTGAACACAGCATCACTCAAAGACAAGGAGCCAGAGTCGGTCAATTCAACACTAGACTTCACAAATGCTTTACAACCGGTTTGTTACTCCTGGCCTCACATGGTATTTGTGTACTCACGTCACTCGTGGTGGTCATCCACTGTACTGAGGTTTAGACATCTGGTTTTGGTTCTACATTGCATGCATCAATTCCTATTAGTTGACTGCGGATAAAGCCTTGTCATCCCAAGTCGCCTAAAGCATTCTGTACTGTATAATCGGGTCCTCATGTAAGTCGTGAAGGTCAATTATGCACAGTGGACGAATCAAATTTCGCTTCAAATTCACCGAGAGTAGGTAGCCTCAGGGAGGATTAGAGCTCAGAACAAGTGTCTATTTCTATTGGCTGACTCTAAATAACGCCCTGTTAGCAACACCTTCCCTCTATCTCTGCCTCCTGCCAACACGTCGTCACAGAAAAAAACTCCACCCAGTTTGTTGTACCAGTACGTTGTTATTTGGTTTTGGGTACACACGTTACCCGTGGAGACCAATCATTGCACTGAGATTTGGTCGTCTGAATGGAGCTCAGGATTTCATGCGTAAATTCTTACTGGCTGACTCAGAATAGCACCTTCTAAGCTTTACACTCCTGCCAACACGTCAACACGGAACTCAAATTCCATCCTGTTTAAGAGGAAACTAGCCTGTCTTCTCCACTGCAGCATTGCCCTGATCCACGTGCTCGTGTGTGTGTGTGTGTGTGTGTGTGTGAAAATGTGCTTGTATTCTCAGCCTCGATCCAGTTGTGCACAAAAGTCAACAATTCGGGCTCCTGAGAAAACTTCACACACGAGGACGCATCAGGTGTCGCTTGCACAGCCAGAAGTGCTGCCGGCTGCCTGGGGTGCGAAGCAGAAACCCAACCTGCATCAGAGGCACTCAGGCGGTGACGCCACTGGTGGGTGATTCGTCAGCTGAGACGTCATCGTGTGTGTTGTGGTCAAGCCTAGTTGCATTCACTGCTATCCTGGACTATCATGCACAATGGAACTGCTGGCGATGGTGAATTAACACCAACAAACATCAATCTGGTTTCGCAACAGCTTTTACCTAATGAATCGATGAAGGTGACTGCACACAAGGCTACCTTTCATGGGCTTTTGACTTGCACTGGCGTCGAAGGCAGTGGCTTTCGTCGATGAAGTGGAAAAATTCGTGAATGCGATGTATCTTGTGGAAACCGGTTCTGGGTTTGAGTTTAGCCTGACGAGTTGAAGGTGCAAAGTAAACGAAATTGGATAAGGCACCACCCCTTTTTGCGTTAAATCAATCAATTGGACCTATTCAGCAACCCTTGTTAATGTGTTTCGTAACCCGAGTTAGTTCAAAGTGTTTAGACGGATTATGAAACGCAAGACCACAGTCCCCCGTTTAAAGTGGCAATCATCCATCTTTCCTGCACGAACGGGCGGCACCCACCCAAATAAATCGACAAAGCTCGACACATTCTGAAGAAAAATTTTCCATTACTTCTATTTTCATCTTCGATAACTGCGGTTTGAGCATCGAAGTAGCATATCACTGTGGAAGTGCTACATATTTACAACAAAAAACTCAAGCACCCGAGGGTGACTCGTACTATCACACTTTCAGAGTCAAAAAAGGCTATTCAAACCCGACATTGCGTAGTTTCGCCCGTGGAAACGTCCAGTTTTGGTTTGTCCTTACAAACGGTCATCGCCGTGGTGCTTTTCAGAACGGAAATATTCTTTACCGTTTCAATGAACAGCTGGCTGTGCTTTTCTGTTCGCACCTCCTTTTTTAAAGTGGACTTCATCTCAGGCGTCGTCATTTTTTTACGGAAAACCGGTGGCAGGGCAGGCTGAATCATCCGACTGAAGCCCTTCACAGACGTGCAATGAGAATCCTGCTACTTCAGTGGCAGTTCATACTAGTCGACGCAAACATCCTGACGTAGTTATCATAGTATTCGTTAGCATGCATGGAAATCAGCTGTTTGGGGACCAATGAGAAGAGGCTCTCACCTCATTGGTTAACTCGCAGTGGTCGGCAGAAGTAGCCCGTATGATCACTCATTCTTGTTTTTTACTGTCAGTAGACAGTATTATTCTTCTCATGTAACCCCACTTCCAAGGATGTGCTCTGTCTAAGAAAGAGTTTACATGTTCTACAATCCAAGTTTAACCACTCCAGTGGAAATCCCATTGGTTCTGCTAGAAGGTCAAAGACAACAGGACAAGCAGCTTTCCGGTTACTTGCAACTCGTATTAGCAACCACAGACAGCAGTACATTGGATTAACGTACCGGGTAAAAGTGATACAATGCCTGATTTATCAACTGTTTGGATTTATTAAAATGTTCGGCTTGGTGAATCGCCCGACTGGTGTCATAAGGCCAATAAAACCACGTAGTAACGAATGATTTACTTAGCCAGTCTACTTCGCACGACGGCTCGTTATAACAATTGAATTGATCAATTAGTGAAAGCCCCTGGTCTTGGCACTGGACACAAAATGTTGGCATGGTCAAACTAATCAGGCTGACCCATTTCAGGTTTCCACTGGTGTTTCTGCGACCTTTCCCCAGCCCTACCACCACGTTTCCACGTCGGTGGACTACGGACAAGCCAAGTGCCCCCACCTGGCATCGGGTGCAACACCACCGTACTACATGTCTCCCCCGGCCAGTCTCTGTTCGCCGTCACGTCGCACGCCGCAGGGCTACCACCGGACACCGTCTGCTCACCCCTCCGCCTCCACCTGCTCTTCCGCCTCCTCCGCATCCTCTGGTGCCTCCTCCGGGGGTTCTTCCTGCAGTTCCTGCAGTGGCGCAAGCGGCAATGTTTCCAGCGATCGGACGCCCGTCGAACTCCTCGTCAACTGGCTCTCGTCTGCCGGTTTCTCTGAGTACGTTTGACGGCTGACCGATGTGGCTTTTCCGGGTGGTGATTGGTTACCCAAAACTAAGTGTTTTCTCTTCCCCCCCCCTTTGAACAGCTACACCACCTGCCTTGTGTCGGCGGGTTACGATTTGAGCACACTGCGCCGGGCCACACCGGAGGACCTTAACGCCTGTGGTGTCACTAATCCCCGCCATCGACAGCAACTGCGTGCCCGACTGAGCCGTCTGCAACTGCCCGAAAATCTTCCAGATCACATACCGGTATGTTGGCGGCCGTCTGTTCAATTCTAAGGCTTCTCAAAGTCGTTCAGCGGAAGCAAAGCAGTTAAAAGGCATTTTTGTTTAAATAGTTTATTGAAATCGCGGGTATTTAAATTTCCAGTAAAGTAATCACCTCTATTGGATCCTCGATGCGGTGGTTTTTTTCATTAACCTCTTTCCAGACAATCGTTCCCGTCATTTTAAAAATTAAACGAAGATGTAAAATCACGTTTAGCCTCTGCTTTTGCCAGGAATATCTAGCTAATTTTTCCGGAATTTTGGCAAAATTGCTTTCAGTGTTTTCGTAAGATACCTCGACAAGCATTTTTGGCAATGCATGCGACGTTGTATTTCAGGCGCAAAGCAAAAATTACACGAATTACACAGGAAGTATGCTTAAATAAGGCATTGTTTGCCTGCTGCCTCGCACAAAACGCCCAGTAGTGCAAAAACGGTAATTTTTTGTTCCTACCAAGTCTCAACTCTCGGTAGTTACAACTGCACACTGTCCGATCCTGTCTAGTTAATATTCCGTGACCTTTACGCTGCTTGTACATCCGTAAAGTTGAAACTCTTACCGGCGCTATCAGAACTGGGAACCGTAGTATGTGATCGAAATCGCTTCTGTATAAGTGAATTCCTCCAGCCACGTAGTTGTTGCATTCGTTCTCCACATCAACATTGAGATCTGATCTTCAGTCCCTCCGTGAAACGGCTGTTGAAGCTGACGCCCACTGAAGCATGGAACGCTTGACGTCGATTCTTTCATCAAAAATCGATTTTCAATTTTGGATACTTTAAGCAAATACCTTGCTTCCCCTCACAACACCGGTTTGTTGTAAGGCGATTCAAGTCTTAGTCAAATTTGGGAGACCGCAGAATTCAATGTAGCCTCTGAATAACGTCAATCGTCACCGTATCATCCACGTAACACCTCCACAAAGCCCCCTAACCAACCGGTTGCGCAGTGTGACTCGCGATTTTTTCGTTGGGAATTGGGATTACCAAGGAAAGATGAGATGCGCCATAACCCTCCCCACGCACACACACACACACGCCCACATTCGGTAAAAATGGCGGAGGGAGGGAGGGAGTGGGAAGCGGAGCCTGTTGTCTGCCGTTAGTTGTGACTCAGCGCAGGACGTGAAGCAAAAATCGCACTCCATCCCGATTCAAGGACTCCAGCCCCCATTGGCTGCCTCCTAATTAGTTGGGCGCTTTTTTCTCGCATACTTTCAGGAAATTTTGTTACCTGCGTTAGTAATCCGTTGCCGATTAGTGGCATCTTCCTCTTTTGCGTCTTTTTTCCTCACTAATTGCATCAAAAAATGGCTTGGAGCAGCAGCAGCCTTCATTACCCGGTACCAGTTACCATGACAACGAGGCCAACTAATCTGCTCCACGCAATCAGGCGGCTGGGTTTCTCACCTCTTTAAGCTCCCCATCCTGCCCCATCATTTCCCTAATTGACGTGCTTCAATTTTGCGTTCCGCACTTCGTATCTTCTCCAGCGCTCTGCAGGCAGTTCGCTTCATTACTAGCCGGGAGCGAGGTTTTTGCAAAGAGCTTCGTTATGCTTGCACCTTTTCGAATTGCACAAATGGGGGTGTGCTAGGTGTTTGTAGATGCAAAAAATCCGCCTGAGGTTCACTGGTCGCCAATCTTCCAGTCGACCTACTGAGGCTTGAATGGCTTCCAGATGAATCAAACCTTCCAGTTCAGATGTTTACTGTCTGCTGATTCCATGGCAGGTTAAAAATGATCGCAGAAGCGGTCAAAAACGGCAAATCGAGAAGGGATTGTGCATTATTAGGGCCGCGCATCCTTCGCATTTGGCAATTTCCCCGTTTAACCCCGGGTCCGCAACGCTCTTTGTGTGGTACTACTGCCGCCACTGTCGCAACCTCAGGTGGCTCATTTATTTTGCTAATGCGGACCAGAACATGGAGACAAAGAAATTGACTAAAGTTTGTTTATTGCATGTGGAAACTTGTTTCTCTGTGGTGAGAATCAGAAGCTACCTCGTACCTGAACCGTTTCGGATGACCTTGAAATAACTGGTTGTCTGAAATCGACCTGAAGAGAGTTTGGCTGGGTGTGGTCACAGAAACATCGTCGATAGCTGGGATAATAACGTTCATCCGAATGGACGTGCGCACACAACTTTTCAAACAAAAAAACCGCGTTTAGTTCTACTCTGTTGACGAAGCCTTTGTTGATTGGTTAGGAGTAATTGATAATCTCGATGGCCTATCTTAAATTAAATTCTGCTTTTTGACCAGTACGTGTTAGGTCAAATTTGTGTAGACCTTGGGTCGTTTGATGTTGATATATTCAGTGCGAATGCATGCCGTCTCCCTTAACTAAATCCTTTTGCTTTTGCACCGTCCAGGTTTCTGTATTTGAGTGGCTTTCAATCCTCAACCTGACCAATTACTGGCCGGCGTTCCAGTCCCAAGGCCTGCTCACATTCGAAAAGATCTCCGTGCTCACGTGGGAGGATTTGGAGGAAATCGGGATCACGAAATTGGGTTAGTCGTTTTTGTTGCTGCTCCAACGCACCAACTTTTCCCTTTGTTTCCAAAGCCTAGCTGGTTAAATGATCCTGTTTACCAGGAACTAATTTTTCCCGTTAAAGAATTTCCACTGTCGACCTGGTTGACACTTCTTCACCTCTCCTTTATATCTTCACATTTTGTAGAATGATATAGCTTCTTGTTTAAGTGCTGCCATGTCGCCTTTGACCAAATTACTGTCATTGATTATGAGGTCTACTTCCAACCAAATTTCTGATATTCCTCACGGTTCGTTTGTGCTCCTAGAATACATTCTTTAGTGAAGTCTACAAACCAACTAACTTCCACAATATGTCGTCAGTTATTGAGACGTCTTCAAGCACAGTAATGTTGAAAGATGAATGTCAGAGACCACTCGGATAGGTGTGTTGTGAGTCCCAGCATGTGGTCTTGAACCACGCCGGGGCCACGGAATTAACCCTGGCCCGATTACGTTTCCCCAATACCTGCGATAAAGAAAAAGGTCGGAGAGGACTTGGACACAGCCGTTTACTTCCGAGCTCAGCCACGTGGGTGTCGTCGTGTCGTGTGTGGTGTTTGCGTGTGTGTATTTATACATTGGATGTGTCAGTCATAAATCCACTGACATCGAGACCTAGGTGTGAGGACAATCCAAGATAAATATTCGTGCTAATGAAGGGTGAGTTGAAGATTGGTGCACCTGGTGACATGCTACGAAAAGGGGAATCCTATCGGAGGTGGAGCGACCGGATTAAGGGGTGTTAAAACACGATTCACGACAGGTATTTATTGTGTGGACGGAATAGCCATCCTCCCACAAGATGACCCCCCCCACCCACTTCCCTGCTTCACTTGACGGCCATTGCCTGCTGACCGTAGCAACCCGTCCCCCGTTTGCGACAGCGCTCTCTCAAGCTCTAACAAGGCGTTCTCCCAATTTGCAACCCTCTAGGTCATCAGAAGAAGCTGATCCTGGCTGTGGAACGACTTCGACGAGCACTGGCAAAGCGCGACGAAGACCAGGCTGGCGGAGGCGATTCCCTCACAAGGCACTGTCGCGCCCAGAAGCACCAGGTCCTTTCATCTCCAAGTCACTCAGGTGAGTCACAGCGACTTCCGGAGTGCCAATTTATCTGTTGGCAACGAGGAAAAGCACCAGAACTTCTGCAAGCCAGCATCGTAAAACCGCAATATCTCTTATTTGGGCTCGTTTTCGTTTTCAAAAAGTAGAGAATGACTTTGGACGTGGTGGTAGCAGGTGAATTTTCTCACACACAGGAAACGCAGCTGCGTGAATCCGCACCATAACATAGAAACCTTTGAGAAACAGGGGAGGTGATGTGACGGCGGCGGAAAAGTGACCGATTGAAACTAGAATAAAGAAGATGATTAATTATTATAGACGCCAATTGGAGAGTTGTGACAAGCATGCAAAATTTAATTGGGATCTATGAAAATGGTCGGTGTTTTTAAGGTGAAATGAACCTCGTGCCAAAAAGCCCCCTGCTCCCCGCTCTCAATTGTCTGCTTTTTGACAAGATCCTAATTTTAAACAATTCCAAAATTCTACCGTTGTAATTCTGTAAAATCTCTCATTTACCGCCGACTAGACGACTTTGTGTGTGACAAACAAGTCAAATTTTCCGGTGATCGTGCGCTCAGCGCCTTCTACTCCTGCTAACTTTACCAATGTGGCAAATTTTTGCTTTCCATTGCACACACCAGTCTCTCCTGCTCGAACCTTACTAAAATCTGACGTCGTTTCTCATTGTACCGATACTGAATTTTCGTGCGGTCAAAATGTGCTACTTTATTCCTTAGGGGTGAGGGGAATTCCGCACGTCACTTTACTTGAAATCAACCAATACTGTTGGGTTTTTGTCCATTATTAAAAACTCGCTCTCAGAGAACCATAACCCACATCTCTTGTGTAGAGAGCGTTTGCTGTCTTAACCAATGGCCGGCTTGTCAGCTCAGATGAGTCATGATTCACCTTGACCTAACTGATCAGTAGGGGTCAACACAAAAGTAGTCGTTAGTTGGGTTGCCGTGACTGGATGATCAATTAAATTGGCCCTATAAGGGGAGAGCTGTGTAAACAGAGATGAATCTTGTTTAGCGTCATGGTAGATGCTCTCGTCCCCAACAAATACGCCTTGTGTCGTCACGTACACACACCCATGATTGTCTCAAAATGTCCACTGAATATGACGGTACTTAAACTCCAACGCAACTAAGAGAAAACCGACATGTTGAAGCGTAAAGGTACCTTCAGATTTTTCACTCGCATGGCTCGAAACTGAGAACTGTCTTGGATTCTATCCAGAAACTGGAAATATACTCACATACACTAGACACAAATCCGTGGTAGTTACAGGTATTTCTGGGAATCAAAATTTTATGGGAAAAAGCTGGCCCGTTTCACTGTCTCTCGGTTCGAATTTTCACAGCCACCGCGGCAGTTCCAGTCGTTGAGGAGGCGGAAGGCGGAGACGGTGGGCTGCCCGATCCCACTCCACCGCCACCCCCTGCCTTCCAGGATCCCCCGCTGCCTGGTCGGAAGACCTCAGTGGACTTTTCGGCGGCGTACGGGTCGTCAGGATCGTCTCACCACCGACACCACTTCTCGACAAGCTACCTAACCGATGTGGAGCGTGTTCCTGCGGGTGATGGGGTTGGCGGTGAAGGCAGCACCAAGTCGGATCCCCTTCCGCGCAGTGCAAGAGAGGGGGGCTCTGAGGAGCAATCCGAAGGCACTCACAAGAGCCTTCAACACCCCCCACAACCGCCCTTCTCTGACGTTTTTCTGCCGACGAGGCAACGGCATCGTGCCGCTACCGCCGCCGCTACCTCTGCTACCCTCGCCATTCCTGGTAGGTGTGCCCTTGTTCTGACAACAGGCAGTTACCGCGACGATTCGAGTTGCTATTACACTTCACAAGAGGTGCCATGGGATAGGCAGGCGTGGTTACCGTTCCTGCACATCGATTGGTTCCCGTGGTTTCTGGGGCTCACATCACAGCCACCTGGAATTCCAAAACGCGTGGGCGTAATTGGTGTCTCAAGTCTAGTTCCGATCTCCTGTCGATTGTTTAGCTCCTGTAGAGTTTCAACCACCAGCTAGTACTTTCCGACGAATTGGTTGGGTGACAAATTTACCTCAGAAGGCGACCATGTTCCCATAAACAGAGCAGTGAGTAATGCGTGTTTGCGAGCTCAACGTACTTTAAACGTCACATTTCTTTGGTCGTGGTGTGGAAACGGTTTCGATTATGTAAAGTGAGAGGTGGAGCTCCACTTATGAGATAATTAAAAAAACGAAATACCACACGAAATCTCATCATCATTATCATCTGACGGTAGTCAGATGTTGTAGAGTTGGAGCCTTGCAAAGACATCACCGAACTGAAGGGCTTGGTCATGATGGTGCAAGATGTCCTCGCTTTCGGGCGAAGTTTTCGGTGGTAGTTTTTGAACGACACCCCACCCCTTCATCATCATCAGTGATGGTCGATTACTTAAAGTACGCTTTCCTGGGTGACCTACTTGATTTTCCTTCTGTTTGCTCCTTTGTAGTTTCCGTCGCGAACCAGATGATTCCTCCACTTGCGAGGTAAGCTTTCGTTCCACGAAGAGCTTGGAATGCCCAACTTTGTTAGACTTGTAGACATTAATTCATGACGCTGGTCTTTAGAGTTGCCATAAACTATCATCCTTATGTTTGAAATCGCAACAACAGCTGAGTAATTTTGGCCTTGTTTGCCAACAAGACGTGAATTCCCGTCAAAAAGTCCATTTGCCGCACACGACGACTCGTCCCTAAAGCGCTGTTTGCGAACGCCATGCTGGTTAACGACTCAGACAGTGTGTGAGCCAGATTTGTTAGTGGTGTGTTTTCTTAGACCAACGAAAATCCGGACACTTAGGGAATACGTTCAAGAAATGAGAGAACTTCAAGAGTCAAATTTCGGCATCGTTGACCCTATTTTATCCACCGATACCTCTAGCGTGGAGAATCTTCTGAATATTCCAAATTCGAGTAGCAAAATGTTGCCGTCAGCCGTTTACCTTTACTCTTTTTAAGCCATGCTTGACTGTACCCATTCTCACGGTAGCGGCCAACGACGTTATCCGTTTTTAAGGTATAGCGTTGATTACAAGACAGGTATTCACTATGGGTAGCTGGGATAATTTTGGAAATCTCCAGGTTACAAAGCACGTCACGGTAACCAGACCATCGTCTCGAAGACCACGGCCTCTGCCCTGGATGATGTGGAGTTGTAAAGGATTCTGGCGGATTGCTTTCCTCTTCTGCTTGCTTTTTAGTGGGACCGCGATGGACAAGGACTTGCAGGACATGCAGGACATTCGCTCGATGCTGGACAAGCTGAGTGAACACCTGGTCCCCCGTGGTTCGCCATGACTGTACCCGCGCCACTGCCTGCTCCAAGTCTTTCAACTGCCCACCCTGTGACCCCTCTTCGGGCGGCACGATGACCCGACGTCCAGATTGAGGTGATCTCTTGCGAATGCACGGCGGTCGATGTCACGGCACCTCGATGCCGATCTGCTGTACAGATCAACACCTACAACAACTCTACTTAACACACACACGCACGCACGCCTCTTATACCGCCTCCACTGCATACTATGTCTCCTCCTTCTTTTTTCATGACGCAAATTTGGTGACAAAAAGGTGTTCTTGATTTATGAAATTTTCGTTATGAAAGTAAATTTTACGAATTTTCACCTTTGTTCTTGCTCCTGTGGTGAATTTGAGGCTTCCTGGAAGTGTCTGTTCAATAGAGTTTCAGCAAAATGCCATTCCAGGCGAATGCAGCACGATTTCTCAACATACTTTCAAGACCAGGGTCAGATTTAGTGTGAGCAGTGTTGTGGATTTACAAGTAGACGCTCGAATCGCGACTTTAGCGGGTGCGGAGTGATGTCTGTGCCCAAAATGCCTCGGATTCTTGCGAAAGCCATTGATTTGTGAAGCTGTACATGCGGGGCCCGCACGTGTTTCTGGGGCACCTGCATGGAGGAGCCGGTGGTTCAAATCGCGGATCGATATACAAGCCCTTTTGGTTGGTAGATTAAGGGCTTTGATAAAACGATTTTTCGCCTAATTAAGGAATCTTCAACCTGATATAAATAAAATTATTAGTCAGAGTTTTTTCACCTTAAAATCACATGACAGATTCCGAGGGAAATGAAATCGGAAAGCTGTTTGTCGGTGGCATCTCGCAGACCACTAACAATGCCAGCCTGCGTGTGTACTTTTCCCAATTCGGTGAACTTGAAGACGCCGTGGTCATGATGGATAGCAAAACTGGCCGATCACGGGGATTTGGCTACGTTAAGTACTGCGACCCAGAGAGCGCTAAGGTAGCACTTGCTGCGAAACCACACCGATTGGATGGAAAGGAGATCGACGCCAAACAGTGCAATGTCAACATGCGGGGTCGCAACCGTCGTAGCCTGAAGGTCTTTGTTGGAGGTGTCGGTCCCGAACAAAATGTGACCTCTATTACAGCCTTCTTTGAGAAGTTTGGCCATGTCACTGACGTGAATTTGATGATGGACCCAAACAAACAGCGACACCGTGGTTTCGCTTTTGTTGGCTTCGACGACGAGGGTGCGGTGAACCGATTGATAAATATGCATTTCTTAACTATGGGGAGTAGGCAGGTCGAGATTAAGGCGATGGAGCCACCAAATTTTGGCAAGAAAGGCACCAATCTACTGGCGCGCCACGGTTTCGAGCCAAGTGAACCGAGAGGTGAGAATGGTCGCGCGACTCGCAAGACTGGCTCGTTGCATTTGAAGAACACGCAGACGTCTAGCCACCAGAAGTACTCAAATGTAAATATCCAGTACAATCCTTGCATGGATCCGAATGCCTACGGACTTATTACCGGCCATGGATTTTCTGACCAACACCAAAGTTACGTGGGCGGATTCGGGGAAGAAACGGGCGGGCAGATGCAGCCTGGACGTCTGATGAACGACCAATTCCAGTCCGGTGTTTACTCCGTCTCGGGAAAGATGAACCCCATGCCGATCATCTTCGCCAATAGTTTCTTTGCTATGACGCCCACGATGTACGGAGGGTGTCAGCCGTTGAACCCCGCAACTGCATATCCTTACCCCATCTTGCAACCGCAGATCTTGCATCCCGGTTTGCTGCCTGGTAACGAAGAATTTTGGACCCATGGCATTTTCCAACAGCAACAACAGCAGATGCTTCTAGCTCCACAGACAACAGGAGGTCAGGCAAAGCCCAGTTCAGCCAGTCAAACAAGTCCTTTAACGTCGAGGTGTCGCCAGCAGTTTTGCGGAGGTGTTGATTCTAACCGGGGAAATAGACTGCTTCATGGTGATAATCAGACATTGGCTGGAGCACCTGCAACAATTCAGCCACATCGGCCTCCCTTATCTGGCTCCCTGAACCCACTAGACCAGAATCTAGGTATTTGGTGTGTTCCATCAGCACACTTTTCTAAAACATGGGTTTCTGGAGCAGACAGTGAACAGAAACCTCTCAGTAGTCTTCTCCATAACCAAAACGATTCATCGGCATCGAAGCAACAGCCTTCATCCGACTTGTCAGAGGCTGAATCCAAGCAAGAAACGATTTTGGCCAAGCCGTCTGGAGATAATTTTGATCGCGATGACAATGTCTCTGACACACACGATGGTGGTTTAACCGTGATGAAAGATGAGACAGAAGTGGTTACTTTGGAGCAGGTGAAGAACGAGCTTTCCACCACGAATGCTCAACAATCCTCATCTAACAGCTGGATGATGCAGCGATTTCAGGCACCACCTTCTACCTGGACCTTTCGGCCGCCGTATTGGGGTGACGTTCAGTTACCCCCTGGTGGATTCGGCCTGTCGCCGGGATTCATTCTTCAGCCCCACTCACCCACCACCTGGAACACACCTCCGCCTTCTGCAGCCTCGTTTGACCCTACTGCCATGGAACATGCTTTAGGGGGCTTTGGCTACGGATTTCCGGGACTACCTGCCCACGCGAGCCCCGAGCAACAGACCTTTCAAGAAGACGAACCGTCGGGTGAACCACCACCATCCATTTTGAGTGGTGGATTTCCCACAAGTTCCACCTCACTCTCCTCGTCACTTCAACAGCCACCTCCCCCTTCATCTACTGGATCTCAACGACGCCAACCAAGTGACTCACTGGAGGTTCCGAGTCTTGTTGGCCTCCATCAGAAGTCAGCTGCTAGCGGGTGCCGACAGTGCGACAACGTCGGCGACTGCTGGATCACGCAGCCGCGCTTTCCATCAGGCACTAACGAGGCAGGTAAAAAGTCCGCGGCTGGTGACCTCAACAAGGGGGTGTCTAGGGGTGGTGGAGGCGGTTTGCTCTCTGGCGAAAGGGAATCCGTTGCAGCAGGCGACAGTCATCAACACCGCCCTCATCATCACTACAGAAACTTTTGACTTTCTGACGAGTTTACAAGCTGTGCGTTCTAACATCAGTGGCTGAACCAGTGTTTGCATTTTGCACATTAACACACCCGTAACGCTCTACTGATTTGCACTATTAAAGTCTAGTGAAGAGTTACACGCCTTGACTGCTCGTAGGCAGAGAAAGAGTTATCTTTTTCGGGTGATAAATTGGTCTTTTTTGCAGTCTAGTTCAAACAGGTATAACTTTCCATCATCTATCTCGCTACTGTACGTGCGACTAAATGCGTTCAAAAGATTTTAATCGCTCTTAGTTTCTCTCCCTAGTGGCAAGCGGTATGTAGCTTTTTTTATTTACAACAAACTTTTAATATGCAGTGGGTATGGGGTTTAAAGTTCCATCGTTTTTAGCCCATTTACTTGCGTAAATACTGGAATTTACATGTCGTTTCACGGCAATCATAAACGAAATCCTTTTCATTCTCCCAAGAACATCGTCCGAAGCCTAGTTTTACTCCACAGATGACTGAGTACAACTCCTAAAATCACGTGTGCAGCCCTGATTGGCGCGACATTAATAAATATGATCTTTTTCCTCATTTAGATGCTTAACTACGGTGATGCTTAACTACGTTCTGACATCTTAGTAACAATGACTTGTTTTAATGAGAGGTACTACTTTAAAATACCGGGTTTCAGTTCCATAGCAATGCAAAGCAACACCACCTTTTTATAATACCTCAGTCCCGTTTTTCACTCATTTAATATCGGGTTAATCAGATGTTAATCACGAGCTTCTCAAGGTTACCTAGAGGGAAACAGCTGATCTGCCTCCGGCTAACAAGAAAATCAATAAAAATCTCAATTATGACAAGGTCACGAGTTGTTTTTCTTAAAACTCTTTAGGGTAGTGTTTATTAAAATTATGGTAGTTAAGTTCCGAAATTAACATTTTCAACATTTTATGTGAATGTATTGCAGGTAAGCATCACTTTGTCACCAACTAGCAATTCTACTGTCGTATTATTCGTGAGGCTTGGGATGCGTTTGCTTGTGATGTGATTGATGTGATCTAGAGCCATTTTAAGATTTAAATAAAGACAATTTAGTCCATTGTATCATTCAATTAACCCAGCTTCCGTAATTGGGCCAGGATTTCGTGTTTTACTGTTTAAACAAATGACAAATTTACGCTGTTTGTTGATGATGATGTTTCCTCCGTGACTCCGCATCAGTAGTGGACGCAATCTGTTGAGTGGTTGTATGCAAAAGAAACAAGCACTGTCGTCTGGCAAAAGCACACCATTATCTCGATGAAGTCGCTTTTTCTGTGTCGCTTTGTTAAGTTGATACATTGGTTTGACTACTTAGTGAATCACAGGAAGCTCATAATGAGCCGTACTTGCTACTTCTTGAAGCGTCGCATGGTTTTTCTGTGGAGTTCTTATTTACTCTTTTAACGCCATTTGCAACTTCTGTGGTTGTCCGAGGTATATGACTCCCTAGTCCAAACACAAAGATAATTTTTCTTTAAATCTTTCTGGAGTGGATTGTGGCACAACTAAAATTGCTTGCCTTTTGAATCGATATTTAAAATGGTGCAAACTACTGCACACTTTAGCATGAAAGCTAGATAAAGCCTCTGCGGTGTTGAAAATGCTGTTTAAGAGACTGAAGCTTTCTAATCAAAGTTAAATCAACAATGGGGAATTCTCGTGGAGTTGTGCTGTGATCATGCTGGTTTCCCACCAGCACAGCCTCCGTCTCCCATTGGTGAACTGCGATCAATAACTTAAATACATTTAACAGCACCAGTGAGTCGCAACTGACTACTTCAGAAGTAAATACTACCGCCACCCATTGGGTTAACATTTTTGTGAATGAGAAAATTTGGTAGCAATGTATAAAAGCGCAATATGCACGACGAACATAACGCCAAACTTGGGCCATTGTAAGGCTCTCTTGAGGCCTTTTGCAGCTACACAGGACAAAATCATAAAGATGATAAGTAGGTGAAAATGTTGGCGGTCATAGTGGTTGCAGTCAGGTAAGTAGCTCAAAGGAGATTCGCTGATCCGTATTTTCCTTGAATCACGCTTGGAACTAGCTTTAGTTGTAGCAAAAAGAACTTTCGATTGCTTCAAAAATCGGCACGATGTAGTCTCAATGGTTCTGCTTCGGTGTGATTGCCATCTTGATCGCTGGTTCCTACTTCGTCATACCCAAAGCAAATATACCTTTTAGTTATTGTGGGTGTCACCAAAGAATGAAATTGCAGTGGAGAATGTTGATAGCTACTGACGGTATAAGCGAGCCCACAATAATTGGTTTATGTAGAAAGCAAACGTATCTGATCATTTCTCATCTCTTCCTGGGATTATTAGTGGAATCAAAAAGTGTTCCCCAACACCAATCGTGTGTAGTGTGGAGAAATATTAGGGCGCAGACATATTGGACCACGCCGGCTCCAGCCAGTCCTCTATCTTTTTGCATTCGAATGGCCTGTGAGGAAGATCAGCAGCCAATCAAAGACAGAGACATATGGCAGCAGTATGTAATGAGTGGTGCAGCCATCAAGGTGAATCTGGATGGCCGACGCCTAATGTACGGTTGCGGCTTGTGAATGGGCAATGAAGCCTTGTCTGTCGTACCAATGTCTCTGGACGGTTGTTTATTGATTGTCACATCCAGTTAAACTCTACAACTGCCCCAAAAGCCCATAATAGACACATAACATTGACCCCCGACCTTAGCGAGTTGATTAAAACGGTGAAGCCCATCGCAATGAAATTTCATTTAGGGCTGATATATGACAGAAAACAAAATCAAATAAAATACAGCCCCAAAACAGCGACATTTATGCCAGAAATATTGAATTTAATAATTTAAATCTAATTCAGAGTGCAGAAATTCTCCTAGTTTATCAATATTTGAACCTAACAAACGTATTATTTTTGACATATTTTAATAATGGCTAAGCATTTTAGTAGGATAAATTAGATTATGTAAGTAAAGGTTTATTAGAATTTTCAATGGCACACATTAAGTACAAATTCTCGTCAATATTATTAATTCTAACAGCTTAATTCAGACAACCCACACAATCACTCTTAAATATTATTCAATATAATAATTTGATATGTTAATGAACACTCCAATTTCAAGCATTTCTTGAAGTCCGTGTTATAAATAGCAACATTTGCTTCATCCGCAAACGTTTTTGAAATGATTCGAGTGATTGATACGACGAGCGGCACAATATCGGTTGTGGTTTTAGGCGGTATCAGTGGACTTGGTAGTGCTTCCTTGCACCGTGAACTGGTCAGGCCAAATGAAAATGCACAGCCTTTTCCCTCAAGATCATCCACACTAACGAATTTCCCACTTCACAGAGGAAAGCCATTGCCTTCAACGCCAGTGTAAGACGAATGTCCACGAAAGGTGGCCTTGTGTGCAGTCACCCTCATCGAATCATTAGGTAAAAGCTGCGCAAAACCAATTGACTGATGCTTGCTGGTGTTAATTCGCCATCGCCAGCAGTTCCACTGTGCATGATAGTCCAGGATAGCAGTGAATGCAACTAGGCTTGACCACAACACACACGATGACGTCTCAGCTGACGAATCACCCACCAGTGGCGTCACCGCCTGAGTGCCTCTGATGCAGGTTGGGTTTCTGCTTCGCACCCCAGGCAGCCGGCAGCACTTCTGGCTGTGCAAGCGACACCTGATGCGTCCTCGTGTGTGAAGTTTTCTCAGGAGCCCGAATTGTTGACTTTTGTGCACAACTGGATCGAGGCTGAGAATACAAGCACATTTT